GGTACCGAAGATTGAACTCAGGACCTTGTGCTTGCAAGGCAGGTGCAGAGCTACTGAGCTAAATTTCCAGCCCTACAGTAACTTTGTCTTTAACATGCAAAAAGTGGAAGAAAAATGTTTATTTAGATCACCTTGTGCAAAAAATTGGGATCTAAAAGACCATAGTTTGTTCAAGGAGCATGAAGTAGCTTGATGTGTCTAGAGCAAGCGTTAGTGACTTTTTCTGTAGCCAGACAGTAAGTATCATCAGTAGTTGTTTTTTTTTTCACCGCTGAGCTAAATTCCTGACCCTAGACAATAAGTATCTTAGCCTTTGCTGGCTGTAGTCTCTGTAACAACTACTCAGTTCTGCCTTTGTAGCATAAAATTAGACAGTACATCAGTACATCAGAAAGTGTTTGGCTATGTTCCAGTAAAACTTTACAAAAATAAGCACCAAACTGGATTTGGCCCTTGGCCATAATTTCCTGACCCCCGATCTGGAGTTTTAGGTCTACTAGGAAGGGAGAGTGGCCAGGAGGGTGACTGGGAAGTAAGTCTGTGAGCCACATTGTAAAAGGCCTTGAATGCCAGACTGAGAGATTAGGACCTTGTCTTTTAGGTTATGAAGAGCCATGATATTTTAAGTAGGTCTAATTAATTTGTACTTCTTAAGGCCATTCTAGTGTTTAATTTGATAAAGAAAATACTTAGATATACAAAGATGTGAGAGAGAGAGAGAGAGAGAGAGAGAGAGAGAGGTGTTTTCTCTTACTAGGAAGGGAGAGTGGCCAGGAGGGTGACTGGGAAGTAAGTCTGTGAGCCACATTGTAAAAGGCCTTGAATGCCAGACTGAGAGATTAGGACCTTGTCTTTTAGGTTATGAAGAGCCATGATATTTTAAGTAGGTCTAATTAATTTGTACTTCTTAAGGCCATTCTAGTGTTTAATTTGATAAAGAAAATACTTAGATATACAAAGATGTGAGAGAGAGAGAGAGAGAGAGAGAGAGAGAGAGGTCTGTTTTCTCCCTAACTTCAACAAATAGCTTCTGATGTATTGGGGACTGGTATTTCATCCCTAAAACATTCATGTCCTAGCACTCCTTATAAATGGGGCATTTAGTGCTATTGTAGCTAAAATGTGGGTCCTTGCTGGATGTTTAGGAGGTGAACAGGAGCTGGAGGGTATGAAAAAAAGTTGGAAAGTATGGAGCACACGGTGGTGCTGTCTGCTAAGGAAGGTGGTGGGTTGCAGGGGAGGTGGAAATGGAGGTAGAACTTGGCATGGGAGACATGAAAGGAAAGTAATGAGGCACAAAGTTAGATAAGGGAGGGGAATAATTGGTTCTAAGGTGGGGCCCAGGGCAACTGCCCAGATTCCTTCACCCAAAGGTGTGCTGGTTTTCCTTTGGCCTTTTGTCAGTAAATTTTATTGCCTGTGTTGCTGGGTGGGCCTTCATTGTGGGAATTCTAAAGAGATACCTCACTTCTTTGCTCTTCCCACCTACACTGCTTCACTACTGTCTCACACTTGGGCTGGGGTTGCATGCTTTATGCTGCCTCCTGAGAGACAGATCACTTTTCTGAGCTCACAGAGCTAAATATACTTAGTGACAGCTGGTGCCTTGGTGCTTAGGCAAGCTATTGAGCTGCAGTTTTAGCCAATACTGCATTCCTCATGATAAGGCAAGACTTTTAGGGAGGCTCTTCGCACCTTCTTGAGGGAGGGGCTGCTTGTTCTGAGTCTGAAACAATAAATCCTTATGGGGGGAGCCAAGAGGCAAAAGCTGCCTGTAAAGCTGCCTTTGCTATTTGTTGCCTATAAACTTTGTCTTGTCAGGCTTTAACTTTTAGCAGCGTGGGGACATGTTCAGAGTAAGATGTGGTAATGGTTACCTCAAATATATAGAACATCAGAGTTCTAGCTCAATATAACTTTATGGTGTTGGGGATTGAACCCAGGGCCTTCACAATGAGCTACATCTCCAACCCCTTTAATATTTTTATTTTTATTTATTTATTTTTTTAAGTTTTGAGAGAGGGTCTTGCTAAATTGCTAAATTGCCCAGGCTGGTCTTGAACCTGTGATCTTGCCTCTGCCTCACAGAATCCTTGGGATTACAGATACGTGCCACTGCACCCAGCTCAGTATAACATTCTGATATTCTACATTTATGACGGAGTAACTGGAAGCTTCTGTCAGGGAGTATGTGGTTTTACAGGGTAGACACAGAACAAGACTGATAAAGGTGTGCACAAGAGCTGTGGAAGCATATAAAGAGCCATTTTATAAAACTTACAGTGATTTTGTGTATACTAGGAGTCAAACTCAATACCTCCAAAAACTGAGGGTATCATAACTAAGCGTATAATCTATGATGGCAGGAGCAGTGGCAAACTGGAGCGCACGTACTTCTTCAGAAGGAGGCAGCTGCTGCTCAGCTCTGACAGACCATTGCCACATAGGTGTGTGAATCCAGGAGTGGTGTCAGAGAGCTGCATGTGATACCTGTTGATAGTTTAATGAAGAAAAAGATTGAGAACTTCATTATCTCCCTTAGCACCAGCTCCACGCTGCCCTCCCTCATTTTGATACAAAAAATTGATATTTTTCTCAGTTTTAGGTAAAACAAAAAGCAAAATATCTTCATAAAACATTTCGTTTGGCAATTAATTTGTAGTGAACACTCTGCATAAAAGTAGTGTGATGACAAGTTCTTTAGCCACAACCCTAACTTTCCAATCAAATTGTAGCCCTTAACTTTTTTGTTTTTTAAAAGCTAGGCTGAAAAGCTGGACTTAGGTCCAATTGTATAATACGTTTTGCAAGCCAATAAAGGACCCATGCAAAGGTAGTTTATGACTTCTGTAAACATGTCTCATTTAATTATCACAGTCAAATAAGAGGGATGATTAGTCATCAAGGTGAGGGGATAATAAGCTAAGAGATGCTGAATAGCTTTCCCAGAGTGACACAAGAAGTAACCTATTTCTACAGGTTCTAAAGCATACAACATAGTATAGTGCCTTTCTGAATCTAAAGGCCCGCCTCACTTCTTTGTTCTCTAGAAGAGGTTCCATTCAGATTCAGACCTTTCCTTCACATAGAGCATCTGTCTGCCATTTTCACCATTTGGCATTGTCTTTGTGTTGGCCTTCTTTTCTGATTCCACTCCTTCTTTGCATGCTTTTGGGGGGGCATTAATAGGGCCTGTGAGTCCCCAAGCAAATACTTTGCATTTTAGAATTCTTAGTATATTATGGAAAAAAATCTGGATAATTAAGAGATGGCATATGCAATGCCAGGGCAATGTTTGGATCTTAAAGTCAGATATCATAGATTAGAGTACTAATTCCATCACTTATCAGCTGAAACCATGAACAAATGTTTTATTTTTAATTTTTTAATTTTTTGGTAGTGGGACCTTGGGACCTTGTGCTTGCGAGGCAGGCAGTGGAACCACTGAGCTAAATCCCTGGCCCTTGAATAAATGTTTTAGCTATCTAACACTGTATAAGAAACCTCCCCCAAACTCAGTGGCTTATCACAGCAACATTTATTTTGCTCATGTATTAAGTTCTGAGCATGGCTCAATAGAGATAGGTTATCTGTGTCCACTAAGTATCAGATTCAAAAGCTGTGGCTGGAATCTCCTGAAGTGGCAGACATATGTCTGTCTTCTAGGCCAGAAGACTTCAACAGTTGAAACTGCTTAGATAACCCACTTTATAGATTTTTCACATGATCTCTTCAGCATGGTGACTTCAGGGGCACGAACCTTCTTATGTATTGGCTCATGGATCCCCAAACATGTGTCTCAAAAGAGAGAGAAACAGGTGGAATCCCTACTGCCTTTTCTACTCTTGCCTTTGGAATCATACAGAGTCACTGCTGCCACATTCACTTCATTAGAAGATGCGTGAGTATATTTGTCAGCTTTCCATCACCATAATATAATACGTGAGGCAATTAGCTTATAAAGAAAAAAGATTTATTTTGATTCACAGTTATGGAGTCTCTAAACCAAAAGTCAGTGTCCTAATTTCTTAGAGTCTTTGGCAAGTGAGGGTGGTACATCATGGTGGAACTATATGACAGAGAAAACAATTTATGTGGTAAGCCAGGAAGCAAAGGAAAAGAAAGAGGGACTGGGGTTCTTTAGTCCCCTTTGATGGCATGCCCCCAGTGACCAAAAGACCTCTCACAAGGCCCCACCACTCAGTGGTTCTACCACCTCCTGGTAGTGACACCCTGAGGACCAAGCTTTTAACACACGGGCCTTTTGAGGACACTCATCCAAGCCATAGCAATGAATCACAAATGTTAGCCTGTATTCAAGGAATTCATCTTTAAAGGGAAGATAGTCAAGGAATTTGTGGACATGTTTTAAAGTCATAACAACAAGTAATTTAACCTCTCTAAATCTAATTTCATTTGGAACAAATTATATCACTTTTGAGAGTATTGCTTTTCTCATTTGTAAAATAGGTGTGATAATTCATTGGTTGTGATAATTAGGTGAGAAAACATTGTGGAAGTTCTTGGAATATTTCTTAGTGTATAAAGAAGTATTCAAAACTTGCTAATTCTTCTTTGCTTTCTTTCTTCCCTTTTCTAGCTGATTTGATTACAGTTGTCATTTATTATGTTTCCATAATTTAAAAAACAGTACAGGGGATGTAAAAAGAATTAAGATGTGTTAAGTAGGTGGACCAACTTCCCATGTTGAATATAATTATTATGCACCGCAAATATGTACTAATAAAAATTAAAAATTTAAGTATAAGGAAATAATTTCTGGTTCATATTTATTTTTCAAGTGAAACAACAAAGAAAGGTAGTTTCTAAGTTTCATATGTCTTCAACTAAGACATATGGACATGATGTATGAGTGATGTGATACAGTTATGCACTGGGTAAATGGAATGAGCTATGGATAGCTAGAGGAACCCCGTGTGGAGATCTTGTTGGACTGGCTCTGTGGGATGTCTTGTGACTTGTGTACTTTTCTCTTGCAGTTCCTAAGGGAAGACCTCAATTACCATGATCCAACAGTGAAACACAGCACCTTCCATGGTGAGGATAAGCTTATCAGTGTGGAGGACCTGTGGAAGGCCTGGAAGTCCTCGGAAGGTAATAGGCAAGCCAGCTTGCCAGTCCTCATTGTTAGAAAGTTTAGAGAAGAACAAAGATGGGTAGCAACTTGGCCTTAAAAGGACATGAGCATAAAAACCAAATTATTGAAATGATTCTATATACGGTCACTGAATAAGACTGAATAGTGACTGTGCTGGGAAAGGGGAAGGTTCTCCAATGAGAGTTAGAATTGTCTTGTATCAGATTACTTTTTGAATTCCAGCCTAGCTCTGCTTCTCTTTTCACACCACCATAACATAGGAATCTCTCAGTTTCTGCTGCATCATCTCTGCAGATAAGGAGCTTGCTGGTCTCTTGAGGCAGCCCTTTTCTTCTGTAGCTCACCACTTAGTTCTGCTGAGTCCCAGATGGTTCAAACATTGGATAGAAGTACAGATGAGCTCTCTCCTGAGCCTTTTCTTTCCCAAGTTAAATAGCCCTAGTTTTTGAAGAAAACATTTTCTCAGCTTCCTCCTCATCTTGGTTTCAAACATTTTTATTAGAATGTTTCTTAGATCTCTGGAATTGGACACAGACTCCCAAATGCGGTTTTATCCTCACAGAGTTGACTTTTTGGTTGTGGAACTTGTGCATCAGTTAATGCAATCTGTTTAGATTCTGGTATCTTCAGTAGTCATATCATCCCACTGACTCATGTTGATTTATTAATGAAAAATTTAGATCTTTTTCATATGTAAGTATAAAACTGCTAAACCATGATGACCATTTTTTTTTTTTTTCTGGAGCATTTTCTTTAGAGTTCAAGTTAAAGAGCATGCCTACTTATGTGAGATTTGACAGAGAAGGGGAAAACAGGGCTTTAGGTTTCTCTTCATTTATATCTGTGGCTACAGCTTCCTTTGATACTATCCAAATTGGAATCACTTCTTTTCTTAGTGTAGGTCTTCATGCTAAGAAGAGTTAAACATAAATGATCACCAGCATTCCTGGTTTTTAGATGAGAAACCTTAGACCTTGGCTTGTCCATTGTTATGCATTTACTAGAGCCAGAACTTAGATTTGGGCCTCTGATCTCTAAGGCAGTACTTTTCCTTACCATCTTGGTTGAAAGCTTATGGTGGTATAGGAGACTAGAATTTTAGATCTGGAAGGGATCATCTATAATGGAGATATAGAGAGCATTGGATTTGAAGCAGGAAGACCTTAGTGTGATCCTGGTTCTGGGATGTATCAGCTGCTGGTTCTTCTTGTTAACTCTATTTAATCAATTTATCTGTCTGTCTGTCTGTCTATCTATCTATCTATCTTTATTTATTTATTTTGTACCGGGGATTGAATTCAGAACCTTGCACTTGCGAGGCAGGCAGCAGAACCATCAAGCTCAATTCCCAGTCCTATAAGTTTTATTTAAACATTTTAAAAAAATCTTTAAAATATTTTATCAACTTAGAATAAGGAAGCTGTAAGAGAGAGCTTACTGGGAATCTTTAGAAGCTGAGTTCTTTGTGGGGTTGTTGTTAATAGCCCCTGAGCAACTCAAGCTGTTTACTGATGAGAGGCAAAGCACTATCATGAACTTTTGAACTATACCAGAATTTCCAGGAAAAATCTACCATCAGTTATCATTTAATTATGGATTTTTTCTCTGATAAAATAAGGATAAGGCAGTTGCTTTTTAAGAGTAGGTTTTATAAGTAGGAACTTAGAATGAAAGATGCAGAGTGAGCATTCCTAGCCTTTTCTGAAAGCTCACCGAGAAGTATTTGGGAAGAGAAAGTGACCAAGAGAAGGCAGAAATAGAGGGATTAAATCATAGTACTAGAAAACAGCTCCAGGGAGTTTTCTGGTAAGAACTTCATTTTAGCATTCAGCAACTATTTGGAACACTTCCAGCGTATTCTGAATTATAGGAAAATGGAAGCAATGCAGTGAGTTTTTTGGAGGAGAGGATTCTCATTTGTCTTGAGAAGGGAAAAACATTTTAATGCACAGTAATATAGCTCACAGCTAAGATAGAAGAAGTTACATATATATATATATATTTTGATTGACTAACCATGTATTATACCCAGTGGTTTGACAAACTAAAAGTAAGATTTTTCTTGTCCCTATTTTTACCAAAAATTTGCCTCATTATTCAGAGCAGGGCCCTAGTCTCTCTAGGGTAACAATTTCCAGAGTTGCAAAAAACACATAGTAATCTGGCACTAGCTCAAATTGGCTGGCCTGAGTTTAGCTAGATGGTGTAGATATCAGTAGTGGTCATTTGTGTTTAGAACATTAGCTGGCTAATGTCAGTTTCATCTCTGTGATTAGTGCAATTAATGTTTGCTGATTAATAATGGAAGCCAGTCTTTTCTCTCTGTCACTTTGATCTGAGCAGAAAAGGTTGCTGATCTCTGTATCAACCAACTCTGGACTTTAATAATAGAAACAGCAACAAAAAATTGACCCTGACATTGGGCCTGGAATTTAGCTCAGTGGTGCCACCACCTGCTTTGTAAGCAAAAGGTCCAGAGTTTGATCCCCGGTACCAAAACACACACAAAAAAAAAGACTCTCATATTTATATAATATTTAATATGTACTAGGCACTATTCTAAGTGTTTTACATATGGTAACTCATTTGTTTTTTACAAAAATCTCACAAATAATAGATTCATTATCTCCATTTACAAATGAGGAAAGTGAGACAGAGAGGGAGTAACTGAAACAATGTAATGTCAGTCTGTCACTAACTACCCAGAGTTATTTCAGACTTCCCGATTAAGTGGGTAGTCCCCAGTAAGTCTGACCTTTCTTCAGACACCAATCATAAGCTCTGGGAATTCCCAGGCCACCTGTACTTCTGGCTGCATCTGGCTGCGAATATGGGAGTTCCCACAATCCCCTTAGGTTCCATAATTTGCTAAAACTATTCATGGAAGTCAGGAAAGCCCTACACTTATAATTATTTACTTACTCAAAAGCAGTGGTGGTGAGCCTGTGGCATGTGTGCCGAAGCCAGCTGTTTGTTATCATTGAAAGCTCTAAAAGGTTCTTCATCACTGCTCTAGAGGATAAAAATTAGGACTAACCAACAGAAGTGACTGAGAGGCTGAAATCTGGGAGGATCTTGAATGTGGTACTTCTGTGTCCTCTCCTGCTGGGATCAGGGCACATCACCTTCCCAACTCGTCAATGTATTTACCAATCAGAAAGCTCGAGCTAACTTTGGTGTCTACCATTTTTATTAAGGTTTCATTACATGGGCATGATGGCTTGCATTACTGGCTACATGGTTGAACCCAATCTCTGGCTTCCTTTCGTCCACAGGTTCGGGCTGGTATCACTTGGCCCAGAGCCCCAGCTTTCTAGTCGCATGGTTGATTTTTCTGGTGACTGACTAGCCCCCATCCTGAGCTATCTCATTTGCATGAATTCATCTCTGATCAAGAGGCCCACCATGAGTAAGAAAGATTCTCCTATCATTGAAGGAATTCTAAAAATTATTACATCCCAGGACTGTAGGACAAAGATCAGCCAAATTCTTAGTTCTACAAAATTAAGAAATTAAGTAAGGAAGACCCGAACAAGTTGGCCTGAAAAACAACTGAGAACAAGTAAAATTCCAGGGATCCCAGCAACAGAGACTGAGGGATTGGCCTTTTCTAATTGGCTGTTCTCAGATGACTTATCATTTTTTATCCCCAAGTGTCTTCTTGTTCAGGTATCATCCTTGACCATATGCGGTGGTGGTGCACACTTGTAATCTCAGCATTCTGGAAGCTGAGGCAGGAGGAGGATCATGATTTTGAGGTCAGCCTGGAATATATAGTAAAACCCTGTCTTAATTTTTTTTTTTTTTTAAGAATCAGGTATGGTGGGGGTGGGAGTGGAGATGAAGAATCAGATGGCATAGTCTGCAGATGGCAGGTTTATATGGGTGGTGAAGAATGAATAGGATTGTGTGCAAAATTATTTGAGGAGTGCTGCAATACTCTGTCCCTCTAGGACGATGTGAGGTAGAGCGACATGGAAGTTCTTTAAAGGAAGGAGTGCCAAGTAAATTTTGTGGAATATTTGAGAAATAAAATTGTTTGAAGACAGTAGAAACACTATAAATATCCTTTGCAATGAGAAGGAATGAGAGGCACTGACTTAAGGGAATTCTCCTTTAAAGTATGGATTTCGTTTCTTCTAAACAAAGTGCACCATTACTGTTTGTCCTTCTCTGGGCACTAGATTTTAAGCAATGATATCTGCATATATATATACATATATATGTATATGTATATTTTTTCTTTTTGTATGTATACATATATATTGTTTTTTTCTTTTTTAGTTTTTTGAGACATGGTAAGCCCCTTGTTATGTTGTTCAGGCTGGCCTTGAACTTGCTAAGTAGCCCAGGCTTGCCTTGAAGTAATGGTGATTCTCTCTCCTCAGCCTCCTGAGTGCTGAGATTGCAGGTGTGTATCACCATACCTAGCCACAGTATGTTTTTAACTAATAATTCCTTTCATCATTTGTATGAGTCAAAAACATCTTAACAAGCAATCTTTGATTTTAGCTAAGTAATATAATTCTATCTAAAAGCAAAAGAATCTGATATTCTAGTGTGTATGGACTTCGTTGTGAAAATATGTTTATTTTCTAGTAGGCTTTTGGAAACAATGAAATAAGATTACACACAGATCACCATTTCTGTCTGTGCTACTTCTTGGTAGGACCGGATCTTTTTTCAGGAAGCAATGGAGCAATATTAGAGAATCAGATGGCTACTAGAGAGAATGCTGAGCAGAACTGGCATCTCTTTGTCCCTAAAACACAGAAAGGCCAGGTGGCACCAGGAATCTATCTAATCCATTTCAAAAGTCAGGTCAATATGAAGGAGTTGCATCTTCCTATTGTATTTATATAAACTCAACAAGAGATCCGTCTATTCTTTTCTTTTAGGCATTTAAAAGTTGATTTACTAAGAGAATCTTCAAATTGATTAGTTAATATCCTCAGCCATTAATTGTTGCGCATTTTTTGGGAGAAAGACACAGTTG